CAGCCTGGAGATCCTGCCCGAGGAGGAAGAGGACGGTGTGGGCGCCTGAGTTGATGGGCTGGGCTGGCCTGGCTGCAGCCTCCCCGGCTGCACAGCACTTTATCCAGCTCCCGCCCCGTGACCACACCCACGGGCTGGGGGTGGAGCCAGCAAAGGGGCGGGGCTCCCTCCCGGCCCCCCGCCCTCCGATTAGCTGGTTTCATTAACTGACGTTTCTGTGTCCCGTTGGCCGCCTGTGGGTGTAGGGAGGGGAGGGGGTGGTGCGTGCTCCCCTCTGACCGCTCCGCCGAGCAGGTGTTTGGCCGCGGACCCCAAACCCGGCCAATGAGATTGAGGAGGTCCCTTGGGGGGGAGGGGCTTGTGGGGGTGCTGGGGTGCAGCCTTATGTTGTGCAGGGACACATCCGGGACATAACTGACATGGAAGGGCCTACAGAGCTGCTCAGACACTGAGGACCTCTCCCAGCGTTGCGGTACTTGAGGAAAATAAACTCGTGTTTGATCCTCTGTGGGTCTGGCCTTGTTACTCGCATCGAGACCGTCGGGCGGGCCTGTGATTACCATTGACCAGGGGGGAGCAGCGCCATCAGCACCCGGTGCTCCGGGGGAGGCAGAGGCCCCTCTACCCCTGGCGCATGGCTTTGCTCAAAGCAAAGCGGGGAGGCGACTGAGCCAGGGAGGGGACAGGACCACAAGGCTTTTTCCGAAAATAATTTACTAGGGCGTCTGGCGGGTGGCGTTGGGGGTGGCTGTCCCGCGCAGGGTTGAAGGGTAGGTGGTCTTCGCCGTGTGAGACCTGCACGGGGGCTGGCAGTCCACGGGGCCCTCGGCCACGCGCGCGGGCTCCTCGTCCTCCGCGTGCAGAGCCTTCTGCTGGTGCAGGGACTTCTCCTGGCTGCTGATCGGGCTGTGCGTCTGGCCGTTGATGGACACGGCCGCGCGCAGCGCCGACTTGACGGCTGTCTCCATCCAGCCGTGCGGGTAGGCAGTGTGCTCCCCCGCGAAGTAGATGCGACCATAGGGGTCCGTCCAGTCGAACTCCTCCCAGCCCTCCCTGGCTCGCCAGAGCGTGGGCGGCTGCACCACGAAGCCGCCCTGGCTGTGCGGGTCCTCTGCCCAGCGCTTGACCACGCCGGTGCCGTCCCAGAGCCGGTACACGATCGGCCCGTGCAGCGCCGCCACGTCATCCAGGGCCAAGTGCATCGTGTCTTCCGTGCTCAGGCCGTCGAACGGGGCCGTGGCGTCCCCCCACGTGTACGAGGCCAGCAGCAGCGAGCCCTCCCCCGGCGACGGGTAGATGATCACGCGCGACGGGCGGTCGGTGTTGGAGTGGCCGCCCTGGATGTGCTCCTCGTGAGAAGGGCCG